AATCTGTGTTTTGATTTAGAGATACTCTTTCCACCTTGATTAGTAAAAATTCACAAGAAGCAAATCCAACAGGCTTCTGATTTTATGCCTTGGTGTCCATGACCAGGTAAAATATTCTTGCTAATTCTAGACTATATTATATACTGCTTGAATAAAATGTTTAAAATGCAATATTGTTTGTGATCACAAACCTTTTCCAGGGAAGGACACGTAATTGGTAAGAGCCCTCATTTTCCTAAACCTCTAACCTTACTGCAGTGGAACTCTATCTTGTTACCAATATTGGAGACAAAAAGCAAATCTAGCAGTACTGCATATGCAACGTTAACATGAGACTCTCATTCTATATTTTTCCTTGATTACTTGCCTTATTTGTGATTATATATAGTCTTCCCACACCATGTGCATGGTAGAATATGAGTAATACTCTTAGTCTCATGATAATTTCATTCTATCCTTACCTACATCTAGTATTGAATTTAATGCATCCTAGACTACATAGCCTCCTGCGATAATGCATTCCTAGCTCCATAGCCTTCAAGTCCCACCCTATACAGTTAATTTTTTCTCTCAGCAATCTTCTACTGAGATCACTGTGAAGAAAAGGAGTGTACCTCAGAACTAGAATCAGATTAACTAGCTAGGTATAACTTTTATGTCTCTTTTGTCCCTGCTTTGCTCCCTATTTCCCCCTCATTCTTAGCTCCACATAATTGTTAACTTCTCAACCAAGTAACTATACAATTTAAATTTAATTACTATTTAACCCCAGTCCAGTTTAGAAATTAGTTGGATAATTAATTCACCATCACCAGCAATGCAAAGAAGATCCTATTCACTGCTTACCTATGTGCAGCCATGGCTATTAAAACTTTTTAAAACAGAAACCTTTTATTCTGATGAGAGCCCATCTTTTAGCAGTGTTATTCACTGAACAAGGCATGAGCTATAATCTCTTTAATTTGAAAGCTTTCTTTATCAATATCGTTTATGCCACTCTCCCCAATAAAACCTGATTAAAGCAAACAGCAACCTCATCCACTGATTTAAACTATATTCACCACTATTTCTATATATGACTAAATATTTTTGATATACATTAAAGTCTTAAATGTGCAGGAGGCCATCCTCTGTGTGTGCACTTGTGTGCTAACGTGTGATACGTATAAATGCACACAGCATGAACCATGCACATGGTGTTACAGTATCAGCTGAGTACCATTATTGATGGAGCCCCCAGTAATGTAATTTTTAAGTGCTATAGACTCATTCTTCATTTGGAGGAAGCCATGCATATATTTCATATTTTACAGTGTATGTATTCCAAATACTTTTCCCAAACCTGTGTCTGTAAAGGAAAACATGCCATTAATTCAGTTTAACTAAGGCTATTATGTTTACTATGTTTCCTAAGTTACTAATTGCTCAATAAAAAGGAAACAGAAAACTACAGATAAGAGACTATGTAGAAACTTCCTGAGAGGTATGCAAACGGACTCTCGGTCAAACAGGTTATTTTCTTCACTTCAGTGAGAAGCAGATTCCTATGGTTCCCTAGAGAAACTCTCAGCCACAGGTCTATGGACAGGCCAAGGCTGAGCAGCTGTTCCATGCAAGTCCATAATTTGCCTCAAAATGCCTGTTGACCATCCATTGTGGAATTTTAAACAGAGAGGGCTATGTTCTTTGCATCGTGGTCAGCCTCACTGCTCAATTTATATTTATAGCTGGCCTCTCCAGCATCTGTGCACACAGCCTGCACTGTAACACTGAGGAATTGGGATGGCATTATTTGAAACCTGATTAATTTGCCAGGAAAGAGCAATCCATCATTTATAAGGAGGAAGTACAGGACCATCACAGTAGTATTCTTTCATGCTTTGGGATTTCTGACTTCATTTCTTTATTTTACTTCTCATCCAGTGCCAAATACAATAGACACTGCCCACAAAGTATCACTGAAACCCTCTACTGTCTAGGTTGTCAAGATCCTCCTAGGCTGACTTTAGTGATGATACATGTGACATTACTGCCAAGAAGGTCTGGGTTCCTTAAAGGACTCCTATACCTAAATGATCCAGGCTCTAAGTAGATTGCAAGACAATTCTAGCACAGATCTTTCTGGTATGTGTGCAATTAAATGTCTATAATTGGTTTATTGAGTGAGCTGAACTACTGGAGTGTTAAAGGAAAACAGCTTTGTTTTTCTCCTTTTATCTATTTTTATTTCCATCCTATCAAATTTGTCTTGTCACTATTTGCAGCACAGGTCAATCCTCTGATGCTAGTATCATGTTAAATAATTTTAAAATTCTTGTCTTTAGATACTAAGAACAAAAGAGAAAAGAAAACATAAAACAAAAATACATATGTAAACACACAAACAAGACTAAATATACATATACTCTTGAGAAATTCTAATCAAAAGTTTAAACTTATATTAAATTTTTAGTTTATTCCTACCTTCCATGTGGTGGTTTGAATGAGAACACCCCCCACAGACTCCAAGTATTTAAATATTTTGTCCAAAGTTGGTGGCACTGGGAGGTCCTAGGACGTGTGTCCTTGCTGGGTGAAGCACATCATTGGTAGCAGACTTAAAGAATATCCTGGCTCTCTGCTTCCTGTGCATACTTGAAGATGTGACCTCTCAGCTTTCTACTCTGGCCACCTCTGCCTACATGCCTCCACACTTATCCCTCTAGAATCGTAAACCAAATAAACTCTTCCTTCTATAAGTTGCCTTGGTCATGGAGTTATATTACAGCAACAAAAAAGTGACTAATACGTCCTTCACCCACCCTAAAACCAAAACAAGGCAAAAAGTCTACAAGTCTTATCGGCCCCACACCCTTGCTTTCTGTCCCACAAGTGCATTTCGTCTGTCTACTTAGAGCTTCTTCAGTGTGAGAGTGAGGAGACTGGAGAGTGAAGAGATAAAGGCTCTTCTGCTCAGTACACACGCTTAAAAGCTGCCATCATGGAAGACCTGCATGCATCTGATTTGTGGCATAGTTCTTCTGTTCTTCAGGGATCTCCCCCTTAGGTTCCCCTTAGGTTCTTAGGGTCGCCAGACATACTCTTTCTGAACTTCTTCCAGAGCTTCTGGCTTAGCCTCATCACCAGCTGTGTCTCTCTACAGTCCTTTGGTTGGGAAAACTGCAGTGACCAGGACTTCTTGGGCAGAGGCTTACCAAGACTGCCTAAGCTTCATTTTCTCCAATGAAACTTACCTGTGCTCCTCCTAAATAGAGAAATGATTCTTCTTTCTTCTGCATTGTGGGCATAATCAAGTAATTTTCAGCCAAATTACCATTTCTATTTTTCTGTGTTTGTAATCATCTTCTGTCAACACACACACACACACACACACACACACACACACACCATCTAAGAGATTTTCTTGGTGCCTGAACAACTGAACTTTGGGCAGAGGGAAAACATCTTGAAAACCTACACAATCCAGGACGTCAAACAATCTTCCATGGCATATTGCCATTGGGAAGTTTCCAGTGATAGTCACTGGGCCTCTGTGGTGAACGCTCACAAGTCCTAGGAGATATATCTGCCACCTCCTTTAAGGAACTTTGGGTAGTGTACCTGATAGTCCCTCTACATTGTAGCCTTAGCCAAAAAATCAAGACGAAATATATTTCTGGTCTATGCCTTATGGGGAAGCCAGTTTTAGCTTAAACGTGGTTGCGGTTGTTGGCATTAATGATATGGTGCACAGTTTTTTAAAGACTAA